CGGGGGGTTTCTCCTCCCTTTTCCTGTTCTCTTTGTTGTCCGTCTTAGGTTTCTCCTCCCCCTCCTCTTCTGTCTCCCCACCCTAGGCCCTCTTCCTCTCTGTCCTCACCCTCATCCGTCTCTCCTTCTCCTCCTCTTCCTCCCTCTCCCTCCTCTTCCGCCTCGACTCCTTGCTCTTGATCGTCTCCCCCCCATCCGACCCCTCCTCCTCCTCCTCCTCCTCCTCCTCCTCCTTCCTCTTCTTGACCCTCTTCACCTCATCATCATCATCCCTCTTGTTCTTCTTCTTCTTCTTGGGCCTCTCGTCCTCCGTGGTGAGAAGGTTGTCAGTCACCTCTTCGGTAGCAGTTACATCCTCGCCCTCCGCCTCCGCAGCAGCAGCCTTGCGCTTCTTCTCCTTCTTCTCCTTTTTACGCTTCTTGTGTTGTTCGTCTTCATAAACCGACTCGGCTACATCCTCCAGTCTGGAGGAAGACGACTTCTTGGACGATCTCTTCTCCCGCTTCTCGCTCTTGATGGAGGGGGCGGGGGCGCTGAGGACGGATTCCGCGCGGTCTTTTTTGGAGGAGGAGCCCATTTCGAAATGAGGGAGAGGTTTGCGAAATCGGGGTGAGAGTGGATTGATGGTAAAGAGAAAAGGTGAGAAAAGGGTGAGGGGGGGGGGGTGAGGTAAGAAGGTCAAGTGGGTGGCTGGTGAGAGGAGGTGGTGCAAGCAACGCCATCAAGGTGCTCCGCTTATTTGGGGTTTTTGAATGCATGAAAAAAAAAAATTGGGACTAGCGTATCATAACCCTAACCCTTAGGCATCATGCAGGGGTGAGGTAAGAAGCGGTCAAGATCATAACAAACAACAGCAACAACAACAACAACAACAACAACAACAACAACAACAGCAGCAGGATAACAGCGATAATGATAATTTTCTACAGAAAATCCAACCATACGTGTACATATGGGATAATGGCTCGCGCGAAGCTGGCATTACACCGTGTCGGGGACCCTCGTCAAAATGTCTTGTCAGCGCTGCTCTCTCTTCACAAACGGGATCAATTCCAACGACACAGATTGTAAATTGGTACTTCCCACTTGTGCCCTCCCAGTCGCCCTACAGTCGCCTCTAACGAGGGGGACTCAGAGGTCTGTTGAAACCACCAACCCGGTTCATGTACTGGCGATACTCCGTCTTCTTCTCCTTCTTGACCGCTCCCACATTGTTTCCAGTAACCTTCTTTCCCTTCGTCGTGCCAAACCCGCCAAAGCCCATCATAGCAGCCATGTCGTCCAGCCCGTCGTCCTCGACGACAACGTCGTCTTCCTCGTCCTCATCCATAGGGTCGGCATCGAACCGCCCTCTTGACTGGTGGTACTCGTCGTGTTCCTCGCTACGGCCTCGAGAGTATGTCCCGTCATGATCGTCCCGTGGCTTAACCTTGAAAGAAACAGGTGCTGCGACAGGGGTCGACGCGTTGGTGCTGGTTGGTTTGGAGCGGGTGGGGAGTGTTTCCGTGGGTTTGTTGCCACCAAATTCGCGGTCGAAGCCTCTGTCGGGGCTTTCTGAGCGACGGGGGGAGCCGACTGGTGGGGGGCGGCGCTGGGGAGGTTGAAGTTCTTTGGTGGGTGGTTTCTCTGGGAGTTTGTTAGCAATGTGGCAGCGAGAATGGGAAGCAGAAGGTGACTTACCGCTGCCTAAAGTCTCAGCATTACCTGGGGTGTTATTTCCTCGATCCTTCTCCCTGTCTCCTCTCGGCTCATCCCGTTGACGATACCCTTTGCCCCTGTCATCTCGCCTGTTGTCGCCTCGGGGAGAACGTGATCGCCTGCGGTCATTTCTGTCTCTTGATCCAGAGCGGTATCTTCTGCTATCTCTGTCTCTATCTCTGTCTCTGTCTCTGTCTCTGTCTCTATCCCTATCCCTCCCGTAATGATCGCGCGATGACCGATCGTGGTGGTGATGTCTGCTCTTATCGTCGTCGCGGTCTCTGCGCCTGTCTTGGTCGCGACGGCGATCTCTGTCTCTGTCTTTGTCTCTGTTATCATAGTGTGATCTATCGCCTCCGCGACGGGAGCTGCCGTGGTTTCTGTCCGCCATCTTCGTTTAGTGGGTTTGTTGATCTGCGATGCGATTTCAACGGGAGTGACGTCGGCAGGCAGTTTGGAAATTTCCAGACCGCGCTGCTGGGAAACGATGTGGGAGCGGGCACCACGTTGATTGTTCAGTAGGCCAGACCCCCCTGTATTTTTAGCGTCACTGGCAGATGGTCCGAGCGTCTCGAGATCTTGTCAATTTGGCGGGGTTGAGCTTGATATCGGGGGGCATTTTGGAGGTTGTAGGAACTGTAGCCAGATATGGAATATGGATACTATAACGAGTTGCCCTGATTTGAAATAGCTGAATATATAGGGAATGAATCTCCTTTGACTTTCATAGTAGCCCCACCGTTGGCTTCTCAGC